CATGTGGAGGGTCCAGGGCTCCCCACAGCAGCCCAGGCTCCCTGGGTGGCTTTTACCATGGCTCGCCTTCCGGCCAGGCCAGGAAGCAAGGGCATGGGGGGAAGGGGAGAAGCAGGGGGTGGGACCCCATGGTGGGATGTCGGGGGGGGCCCAATGTTCCTTGTGCCCAGGGCCCCAATAAATCTTAATCTGCCTCTGGATAGATGTGCTTAATGGGGGCGTGGGGAGCGTGAGTATGATTCAGAATGAATTGGAGACTAACTGGAACAGTACGGTGGGATTTCCAAAAGCATTCAGCACTGGCCTACTCCTGTTCCCACTGAAATGACGGGAGCCTGATTTGCATTTATACTAAGACTCTTTTGCACCACAGTGGTATTGTAAAGATGCTTTAAAGTGGGAGTACATTTCATTTACATACACTTTCAGCCTTTTGCACTGTGTAAAGAAACCTTAGTGTAGATGAGAATCCGGACCTAGAAATTTTACCATTGACATCAGTGTGACCAGGAAAAGGCCAAACCTGAGCACTTTTGGAAATTCCACCTAAGAGTTTAAAGGCAAGTTCTAAACAGAGGCAGTGTGTGGAGATTTCCAGACAGTCAATGTGGCAACACAGGACAGAATGACTCTTAACTATGGAGAATTGACTACAGGATAAGTGAACAATTTCCAGCTTCAAAAGCATCCATTGGATGCTTTTACAGATTGTGTTATTTTTTTCAACATTTGTGGTATAACAGTAACATTATGATGACAGAAAAAATGAGGGAGCTGACAGCTCTTTTCAAGGAAAATATTGAAAAATATTAAAGATGGGATCTAGTAGTTAGTGTATACAATTAATCCTCCCCTTGAAATAATCACTTCACTGATATCCCTCCTATAACTGTATACCTGCCTGCAGAGACCTCCTCCAGTCTGGCATTCATTCCTGCTGTAGTAGTAATGTTAGCCTTCTTTTCTAATTCTTCATTGTAGGAATGTAATGGTTTTACTTTCATTGTAGTACATAGCATTCAACAGTATTTTGCTTAATTTTTTACTCTTTTAGCTTCTGTACTCAATATGAGTGTAAGAGAGAGAGAGTGTTTGAAACAGAGGTAATTCTGCTTCTCCCAGAGGATTGCTTAAGACAATTGGCGGCTCTGGCCCTGGGGGGTCATACACAGCTTGGTGTTTCTAACAGAAAATAACTCCGGTCAAGTTACTGCTGAGAGTTCAATTTTGAAATCTCCTTTCTGACTTCCAAAGAGCTATTTTCATTTAGAATTAGGTGATGGTTGCCTGCCAGTATGCCTATATCTGTCTGAAGTGCTGTGTTATGAAAGTCATAGCCACAGCCATTTCATATGTTCTCTCTCATGTTCAGAGGGAAAGTATTAAACAAAATGGATCAGCGCTTGGGATCAGTACAGAGCAAGTTGAGGATATCACAGTATGAAAATGCACAGCATAACAGTTGTAAAACAGAAAAAGAAGCCCACCAGAAATAGTGTATTAAAGACACGTATTTACAGAGAAGTAGAGTGAGAGCATAGGGAGCATAATGGGATAAGATTGAAGATTAGTGTGTTAATGCCTGTACAATGCTTTGAAGATGTTAATTGCTAAGTATTATCATTCTTATTGAACAATAAAAATTAAAAGAGAAAACAAGGAAGAATTTTAAAAAGTACCAATTGTCCAGAGCAGTGGTTTTCAACCTGCGGTCCATAGACCCTGGGGGGGTCTACAGACTATAAGGCCTTGGCTACACTGGCGCTGTACAGCGCTGCAACTTGCTGC